TTATTGAGTGAAGATCATACTACAAACAAGACGAAATACAATATACTTTAGATTAAGAAAAAATAACAGAGTCAGCGAGATGACTTTGATAACAAAATGGTATTTTTCATTTTCTTTTGTAGCTTGAGATGCGTTAAACTGATCTTCAACATATTTAATATATTTTATTTTTAGTAGTGTTCAAATCTATCACACTTAATTCACGGTGTGGGTGTGGATGTGGGTGTGGATGTGGGTGTGGGTGTGGATGTTGGTGTGAATGTTCTCTTAACTCACCCACATCCACACACACCCACACTCACACCCCGACATACAATGCATTGGAACAAACTGGTGATTTTACCTTTTTTTAGCCACCGAGAACACACTCTACCAGTATTATCTAATTTGTGCAACCATTTTGGATAAAATGCTGTATTTTTCGGCTTTTGAAAATGTCTAATCAAAAGGATACACTTTTCAAAATTGAATCGCTATAACATAATTATTTGTTTTTTTTATGGAGAGAGAATAACAAATTAGAATAAAAGCATGACAATGGAAGAGAACGAAAAGAAGTCAACAGTACAGAACAAAAAGTGTATGTGTCTGACTAAAACAGTAAGTTCCTTCATAGTTCGTTCTGTTTTAACAAGCTTCAGTGTCTATTGGAGCAGACTACGTTTTAATTGTAACTAGTCATGATTTTGGCATCCACTTTTACGCAGATTTGTCCCCAAAAAAAAGCAATATTACGATAAAGTTTATAATTCCTGATTTTTTAAAAAAAATTTCCTGTCAGCTTTCCTGATTTTGGAACCTATGCCGCTGCGACCCCTGATGATGTTTCAAAACATTAAAAAAACGACTTAAATAAGTTCAATTAATCTTTCAACATGTTTTGTTCGAATATTATTTTCATTTCATTATTACACTAATACCTTCTCTAATAATATACTTGATTTAACAGAAATTTAAGAACAAAGTAAACTAATAGATATATACTTGTACATTTATGATTGATCATGCTCGCTTATTATTTGTTGTTCCTAATGAATTACATCAAGCATGTTGTTTTGTTTTTGTTATTTTGAAATTGTTTAACCATGTACATCTGAAGAATTATTACGTTCCGTGAAATAGTCAGAAATTCGTAAGTCATGAAATATTTTCCAGCTAAATTATTTTGAAGAGTCGACAATGATGAGTAATTAAAAATTAATTGTACTAAAGTCTTCTTAAACCTTACTGTAATCACAAAAATTGATGTTTATTAAAGAGAGATTGATTACTCTCTCAACTAAGCTTTTCCCATTTGTTTGTATTGTCTCACATATTCAAATATTTTATGTTAAAAGGCATGAATAAACATAAATTCAAACATTAGGGAAGGTAAATGAAATAATGAATATTTTGACGAATAAAAATACTGGGTATCATTTCAAAAAAAACACCATAGCTAATTGTTTCTGAATTTCTTTGAACTTCTTCGCAGGTATATATATCAAGAAATATATTAAAGGAAAACAATATTGTATGAATTGCACAAAGAAAAGAATACCTTGTGGTCATTTCAATTCAAAAATATCATAAAAAAATTTCGTTGTCTTTTCTCTTTTCGTTTCTCGTCTAAATGTATCTTCTCTTTTGCCATGTTAGATATCAAATTTTCAAGAGACCAATACTTCTGATCTATAGACTATTTATTTTTTTGAAACAAGATATATATTTTTTCTGTGTGATAGAATTTGACACTTTTTAATCATTATTCTTTGTCTGGTCTCTTTATAAAAATAATAATAGTCTAATATGAATGAGAAAGATATATAAGATATTTTACAAAAAATTCTACCAAGATTTACATTAATTCCTTTTATTTATCATCGTTTCAATTGACAATACAAAACAATAAAATGAATATTCAATTTTGAAATATAAGTTTGTCTTTTCTCAAATATTCACTACAATTTATCTATGGCATCTTTTGTTTCATATGTTTCAGATGGAAAAAAAAACTAATGTTTGTAATAAGAAATCAAATTTTTCAAATATCTCTTTTCGAGTAAACAATATTTCAAACTTACAGGTTGTTTTTTTTCAATCCAGAATTTTTGCATTGTTTTCTTATCAAAAACATAAAATTTCTTCGAATGAAAATTTTAGATTGATTATTTTCTTGATTCATTAATTTCGTAAAAAAAACATGATTTTATGTTTTATTCTACTGAAATAATAATAAGAAAGTAAAAGAATACATTCCATTTTCAACAAAAATTTTTTTAATTGATTATATAGATCAAATCAAACCTTGTATGTTGCAAATACACTTATGACAAAAAATAATATTGTCATATTTAGAAATTCTAATAAATAGAATTTGCAAAGACAGTAGAGATTATGTATTTCTAAACTAAATATTACAAAAAAATGTTTATATAATCAATCATTAATTATTAAAAATATTACTAAAAAAAGTCTGTTTTTTGTACTGCACTTTCCGTATTTACAATGTCTAAACGTAGGTCATATATATTCCTTGCATTTTCTTCTGTAGCATTTTCTTTTGTTGATGAAACGTTGACTATATTGACACTAGAGACACTTTTCATTAACTTTCGTTGTTTAGAATGCCAAAAACCGTAGGAAAAATAAACAATTTGACCAAATGCAGTCCACACAACGAATCGAAAACCTGTTGCTCGTCTTATGCCTGTCATAAGAAGGATACATAGTAGAGAACCTATAGTCGGAATCAACCATGAGCCAAATGGCACTTTAAACACTCGTTGCATATTTCTATGTGTAAGCCGCATCTATAAAAGACATTTTAGAAATCAAAATAGAAAAACGGATTCATTGAACTCACAACTGTAACTATAGTATGTGCGAACATATAGGTAATTAGGGCACCAATCGAAGCTATTTCACCGAACATATCTACTGGTAAAATACAAGAAAAAGCAGCACAAAATAAACCTAAAAATTGCCGATAAGTTTTATTGCATAAATTGTATTAAAATAATAGTTACCACAAATTAATATTGAGACCCATGGAGTTGCTGTTTGAGGATAAATTTTCGCAAAGATTGGTGGTAGTAATCCATCATGAGCCATAGAATAAAATAATCGAGTCTGTGCAAGCATTATAGTCAATGATACTGTTGTAAGACCAGCAATAGCACCTAAACTCATAAGAACTGATAGCCAAAGACCGTAAGGTGTAGCTTTTCTAAAACAATTATAATAAATATCGCTGATATTCTCTAAAAGACTAGTAATGACTTACATTGCCACAGAAAGAGGAGTATCTGACTGTAAAGACTCGTATGGAACAAGTCCAACCATCACAGTACATATTCCAATATACAATAGTGATGAAAAAATTGTAGATCCAATAGTGGCTACTGGCAATGATCTTCCTGGTGACTTCGCTTCTTGAGCTACTGTTGAAACTGAATCGAAACCCACATAAGCAAAGAAAACATGAGTACAAGCATGCAGCATGCCTGTTACTCCATAGGCAGTCAATGAACCTAAAAAACACAATTATATTCATTTATTTCTCAAATATATGAATAATACAATCATATACCTTGATTTGGTGGAAAAAATGGATAATAATTCTTACGATCGACATAATGACAGCAGGCAAAAATAAATATTAAGAGTATAGTAACTTTAATCACAACTAATATTAGATTGACTATAGCCATTTTACGAGTTCGAATAAAAAGTAAAATTGTAATTGCAATAATAATTCCAAGAGCAGGTAAATCAATCGCTTGATCAGTGACAAAAAAACGATCAGCATCTTTGTTCCAAGCTATTGGTGCTTGGACAAATCTGCTTGTTACATTATAATCAAATACGATATCAATAAACTGGACAACCTGCTTGCTCCAAGCAACTGCCTCCGTCAAAATAGCGAACAGATAAAGTAGTGCAGAATTCCATCCAATAAACCATGCTAAATATTCTATAATAAGAAAAAAAGTAATGTTATATTATAGAGATATTTTTGACTGTATACCTCCCAAGGCTAAAATAATAAAAAAATTTTGTTCATAGAAACAAGATATTTATAACATTTGTAACTCACCTGCATAAGTATATGTGTAAACTGATCCACAACTAGGCATCATTGTAGCTAATTCTGAATATGATAAAGAGGTTAATAAAGCAATAATTCCTGTTATAACAAATGAAATAATAACTGATGGACCGGCATATATTGCAGCAGTTTGTCCACTCAATACAAATATTCCAAAACCTGAAAAGAAGACTTGAAAATTGTCATCACATATATTATTATCAATCTCACTCACCAATAATATTACCAATGCTTATAGCAAATAATTGTATCCCTGTTAAGTCACGTCTCAATACATTTTGTGTATCAATTTCAGCTTGTAATATGTTCATTGGTTTACGTTTAATTAATTGTTTGAAGAAAATGTTAGTACAAGACAGTACTCGTTTACTTGCATTATGTTCTGATGAAATACATGAATTATTATCAACAGCTCTATCAGTAGACATTGATAGTTTTCGATCAACTACGATTGCAGTCTATACTGACAACTGATTTTCTATTTGTATGACTCTGATGTTTTAGGACACGATTAATAAATAATAGAAATGTGTCACGATCGATAAACATATAATGATTGGCTAAAAAGCGTAAAATTAAACGTAATCCATTTATTTAATCAATCGTGCGTAAAAAAACACTGCTTAGTCTGTTCTATCTCATACATGTAGGATATTTCTAATGAAACATATAATCGAAAAAGACGTCTTTGTCAAGAGTTCTGTGTTTCATTTCTTTTCTTTTCTTCACTTTCGGTCCTATTCTCACACATGTATTTTCTTTTTTGTCAATGGTAAAGTGATGTGCGTTGATTACTTTTTCTTTTTTTGATTATACACATCGCAAATACTATTCGAATATACAAATATACAGGTGATAAATAAATATTGTGTCCTGTGCGTATTAGTCAATAAACAAAATATTAATGGGAAAAATCCCCTGTCAATATTTCGTTTCACTAGTCAAAATAAATGACGTGTAATGTATTCGAAAATGTATCCAATTTTTTTGCGACAAAAGTATTTCTTTTCAAATGATTTCATTCATTTTTAGATGTTAACTACTACTATATCTACAAAGCAATCAATAATGATTCTCTCCTCATTAGATAAAAATATTCTCAATATGATATAATATCACAACAAATATAAAATATATTATTAAAACAAAAAGAAATAAACTGATATGAATGAGAAGTCAAAAAAAAACTACATCTAAAACCAAGATCGATATTCAATCTGAGTTTGAATTTATGCTTAGATAAATAAAAAAATTTAAAAAAAAATCATTTTAATTTATATTCATACTCAATATTCAATCTATAATTGTAAATTTCATTTGTATGGATCAAATAAATTCAGTAACCATTTTCAAATCAAACATGATTTTTCGAATATGTTTTTTTTTGTATCATTTCCTTACCGATTCATTCGATTGATTCAAATCAAAAATAAAATGGCAATGAAACTGTCTAAAGTAGAAGAACAAAAAAAAGAAACAAAAGTAAAACGATCGAGCATTAATTAATTAACTATTGTCGTGTTTTACAAGTTGTTTATCGATATGAAATAAAATCAATCACAAGTTAATCTAAATTCTATAGAAAATTTAACTCAATAAGTACTAAACAATAGCATAATAACTCTTTATTCTGTATAGGACGAGACAATGTCAACAACATGTACTACAAAAGTTAAGATAAAGAAAATTTTTACTCTATACCTGTAATCCATGAAAGTCATTTAGTCAAATTATATTGATGATATTGAAATAATTTTAGGGAACAAAATAAAGTTCCTTGTATTCTGCAAATGCGATATGATTTACAATCGTCATTATTTACATTAAAATCATCTTGGATATTTGATTTTGTTATTAAATATTCTCCAACATTAATCAAACATAAATTCTTTACACCTATGTGAATAGTTTTAAAAAAAATTTAGTAAAAACAATCGAACAATCATTGTTAACGAACATTGAAAACAAAAACAAAGGATTGTCTAAAAAAAGAGGCCATCAATTGTCTATTCGATGTATTGCCATTAGTTAGATTAACTTGTTTTTATTGTGGCTTGAGGGTGTGGGTGTGGGTGGGTGTGGGTGTGGGTGTGGATGTGGGTGGGGTGTGGGTGTGGATGTGGGTATGGGTGTGGGTGTAGTTCAAGTGAAGACAGACACCCACACCCCACACCCACCCACACCCACACCCCAACCACACCCACACCCACACCCACACCCCACACCCATCCACACCCACACCCATACCCACACCCACACCCATCCACACCCCCACATCCCACACCCATCCACACCCCACACCCATCCACACCCATACCCAACATCCCACACCCACACCCACCCCACCCATACCCACACCCTTGTACAGAATTTTTCATACAGTCAGTTTTGTTTTTTTAACCAGAACTGCCTCAATTCAAAGTACTAAAAGATAATCACACATAGAAGATCCGACATTGGTTAGTAAGAGTTAATCAAAACGAATTATACATAAAAATTTGTCGATGTATGCTTTTTCAATGAATCTTTTTCTATACTAGGAATAGATTTTGGAATCTCTTGGAGTAGATGGAAATTTAGATTACTTGAGAGGTCTCTAGTATACAAACGAAAGTATACGTACATCGACACTTTTTAACTATTGGCTATCGAAAAAACTAATAAAGATCAGCTGCGCGACGTCTGTTATATAGTTTGGTTTCTTCCTTCATTTTGTGACATACATGACAGCGAAATATATGACTTGTTCTCTTTTTCTTGATTGTATAGTGTCCACAGGTATTTTTGGTGACTCAGCCTTATTCAATCTACTCATTGGGAAATTTTAACGCAAGAATCAATGTCGAACGACCAGTATTCCCCTTTACAGACATTACCAGTGGAGATTCTTCATCATATTTGTAATTATCTCGATGCAAAGACAATACTATTATCACTTCGGCATACATGCCGACGATTAAGAGCAGTTATCGAAAACTATGATCAATACATATTCGATTCTCGACTACTTACGCAGCCCAATTTTCAACATCTTTGTCGTGTGATTAATTGTTGCAAAGTTCGAACAATAATATTCTCCGGTGAAGTTAAAAAATTTAAACAAGTAGAATTATTTAAGAGAATGTTTCGCCGAAGACAATTCACTCGAGTTCATTCCTTAACATTAATTGCAATGAATGCAAGTCAGTTTAGAGATATTTTTATACGTATTAATATTGCTTCACTCGTGTCATTTTCTCTTGAAATCGGAAAAACGCCCTATCGACATGAAACTAGAACCGCAAACCTTATCTCATCAATTCTCAGGCAAGCAAAACTTCGCAAACTTGTACTGAATATTCCACTGGATCGAATAGAACAAATCGATTGGCCTGAGAAATATACAATTGAATATCTGGATATAGGTGTTTGCATAAATTTTCTTCAGATCAACAGAATTCTTCAACATATGCCTCGATTACAAACACTTATTATTGATTCTTTGTCTTTAAATAATACTCAACAAACTAATTCGGTACATTTGGAGCAATTAACTACACTATTGTGTAAATATTTGAACACGGAAATTGCTTGTCTCGAACGTTTTCTTCACCTGATGTCTTCTATAACTCATCTCAAACTGATTGGTTATGTAAATCTCTTAGATGGCCATCGCTGGGAACAGTTTATTCGAATAAATTTGCCTTTTTTGAGCAAATTCGAGTTTTTTTTCGTTGAAAATCGAACTGATCATTCACAGTTTCCCAATCTCGAATCGATTATAGAATCATTTCAAACCGAGTTCTGGCTTAAACTAAAAAAATGGTTTATCACTTGTGAATACGATATCAATCAGCCAAAGCAGATCAGGCTCTATTCGATACCAATCTGTCTGCCTTCTTCCAAGTTGAACGTTGAACTCACAAATATTTGCATTTCAACGCTTTCTACGGCAATTGACATGCATGAACCCATTAGAGTAAATATTAATCCTAATGGTTTCATTCGATTCAATTTTAAAAAATTGACGTCTAACAATATTATACAACAGACAATAGTGAGTAAAACTGTAATTTAAAGCTTCTTTAAATCTTATTGAGTGATAATACGTCCTTCTTCAGTCTGGATAAGATTCATTTTATTTTATTTTTCACTTTTGCAGCGACAATCAACAAACAACCCCTTATTTCACACAATCAAAAATGTCGCATTTGCATTTGGTGATGATTATCCTACCAGTTGGATTGCATTTGTGTCGATGTTTATCGATCTGACGGCAATTACTCAAATTGTGTTGACAGGTACAATGATTCTCAATGCCGATCCTAATATGGTGGCTGACATCACAAAATTGCTTCGACAAACATGCAACGTCACTTCACTTTTCATCTGTCACAAATGGTCAACTCCGCAATCGTACTTAACTGCGAATAATATTTGTTCGATGATACCCACTCATCTCAAATACTTAGAAGTGGCAATGAAAGATTTGAATGAAGTCATCATTGTTATTGACCGATGCAAACATTTATCAAGTGCCAAATTCATTTTCTATGAGATGCCATGCTGGAGTCTATTTTATGAATGGTTTCAAATGAACAAACAAGATATATTATATCAAACAGACTGTTTTTCACTGCATGTATGCTTTCCAAAGAATAGTAATCCATCAAATGAAATGCAAATGGCTAACAAACGAATCAAACTCAATCATGATCCACACGATTGATGATGTTTTTATGTATATTTAATATTTTAAACTAGAATTATTTACTAAACATCTTTTCACTTGAAAAAAAATGTATATATTCTTAGCAATATTTCACACTCTATCAAAATGTTGATAAATAATAAAAAAGAACCAATCGACTCGAATTTTATGTTCTAAAAATCCTACAATATCATCTATATAAATACCTAGCCAAGTTTATTAGAAAATTTTTAAGAGAACGTTTATATATGATGTTTGTAACAATAGAATGCAAATTGCTATATATCTTTGAACTAAGTACAATGCGATCAGATAATAATCATGAACATGGCCAACATCATCATACATCGATTTAAATTCTTTTATATCAAAACTTAATGATTGTTTGATTTAATATTGCTTGATTACCGAATATATTTAATTGTTGTTTAAATTATCGGGAATATACAAAATCGATTCTAAAATCCTGTCAATCAATGTTTTAAAAATATTATCAGCGTTTTGAAACGTAGCACCAGAAAGAACTTCATATAACTTCGACGACCATTTTACTATCAGCTCTTGCTTTGCATTCAAATTGACATGTACAGAACGGATCGATTGAGGGTGTGAGTGTGTGGGTGTGGGTGTATGGATGTGGGTGTGTATGGGTATGGGTGTGGGTGTGAGTAGGTGTGTGGCTAGGGTGTGGGTGTGCATGTGGG